TAAAAGGACGGGAGTGGTGACATAACTGATATAGTTACTCAGAAATGGCTTCAAAAGTAAAATTAGAAGTGCTGGTGATTATTACATAATTTATAACTTTTATTTTTATTTTTGAAGCCACTTCTGAGTATATATATATCACTTTTGTCACCCCCTCCTCCTCATAAGTAATTAACTAATATACATTTCTTGTAAATAAAAATACAAGGTGGAGTTGCCAGTATTTTTCTCTTATGGCTAACCAATCTACACAGTGTTCCAGAATACGTTTGCGAACTTGACGTTGCGTAAGGCCGATATAATTTGTTCTACATGAACAATTAAACTGATAAACACATATCCAGGTGGCCAAAAACGGTATGTTATCCTCAAATCTTGCCTAGATTAACTGTCTGCGGAAGAATGTGATGCGTAAAGCGGCCGATTGAAATTTTTTCTTCACACATTTAGAAAAGTGGTTTTTGAGAATTTCTGTTTTGACGTCGCGCCTTTGAATTCTAGCTTCATGGGGAGAGTTTTCTTAGGCACAGTTGTGGCTTCCGGCGAAACAGTTTTTTTCTTTCTTGTTTTAGCGATCAATCTGGGTGGATACGCGTTCTCTCGTGGGGTTTCACTCAATGAATTTAACTCTTTCTCGGCCGTGTCTTCCGAACGAATTTTGCGAATCCTTTAACATAATGTTTACACTAGATTTTGTGTTATTATTGACATTAATTAGCTATTTTTAGATTTATTTTATATTAAATGATTATAATTCAGTAGCAGTGAATTTAATTTCTAAATTCTTAGTAATAATCATATCTCTACTTTTTGTACAAAAACAGCATACTACTGATAGAATTAAACAAGTAGTATACAGTTTCACACAGATATTCTGGCTTTTTTGGTCACCATTTACGGTATCAAGCAGACTACAGCATGTGGTCTGAATAAATTTGGTTTCCAGTGAAAATTGTGGTGAAATCTGAATACTTGAGCTGTGTACGTTTCAAACCGCTAACTACCTTGCAAACTATGAGTTTGAAATATGAGCTTTTGTCTTCATCTCAGAGATTGGGATAACTGATTTCTAATTCACTCAGAAATATCTCCTAAAACTTATTGCGTACAGTTTACCCAAATTTATGATTTATCCAAAAATCTAAGTTTTTACATGTACACACTTGATAATTCCTCACTGTGCCAAATTTCCATGAAATCTTCAAGTTGAATTCACTGTCACAGTCTATCTGTTATTCTGTTCTTCGCTTATCTATCTGAATAATCTTACTGAACATTACTTTTACTTTCACTTTTATGATAAATCGATGAACCGGTATTTCCTTTTGGAATCTCTTGAAAAATATCAGTCAGGGGGAAGTCTTCAGTCTAACCGATATCATTAAATGTGATTATTATTATTATTTATTATTGCTCCCTTGGGTTCCTAGTGGAACATAGGGCTTCAACTGCACGTCTCCATTTTCTTCTGTCTTCTGCTATACTTTTCGCCTGCATCCATGTTAATCCATATTCTTTCAACTCCTCTTCACACGATCTCCTCCATGTCACCCTTGGACGTCCCACACGCCGCTTCCCTTTCGGGTTCCACTCGAGGGCTTGGCGCGCGATGTCACCCAGCGGTCTCCTCAGCGAGTGTCCGATCCATCTCCACTTTCTCCTGCATATTTGTTGGGCGATTGGTTCTTGCTTTGTTTGTTCCCATAATTCCTTGTTGGTGATTCTTTCCGGCCATCTGATCTTCAGTATTGAGCGAAGACAGTTGTTAATAAAGGTCTGCAAGCCTTTTGGAAATATTCTTTGTGACCCGCCAAGTTTCTGATCCGTATAGAAGAACTGACTTTACGTTTGTATTGAAAATCCGAATTTTGTTGGTGATGCTGAGTGACGAAGATTTCCAGATTGATTTCAGGCTGATGAATGTGTTTCTCGCCTTCCCGATTCTCGCTCGATTTGACATCCTCGTCCGCTCCTCCTGTAGTTGAGACAATGCTCCCTAGATAAGTGAATGAAGTAACCTCTTTCAAATCCCTCCCGTTGATGGTGATTGACGTTGGATGTTGTTGCTGTTGTTGGTTGGTTATTTTCATAACCTCCGTCTTGTCTATGTTTACCTGGAGTCCTGTCTTTGGCTGCTTCTTCGACCAGTTTGTCGGTTTTCGCTTGTAAGTCTTCGATTGTGTGTGACATCAAACATAAATCATCCACGCGAAATCCAGGTCTTCTAGGTTCTTCACGTCGGTCCAGGATATTCCTGTCTTCTCGTTTCCCACAGTCTGACGCATAATCCAGTCCACCACAATTAGGAATATCATTGGTGATAGTAAGCACCCTTGTCTGACTCCTGTGTTTACTCCAAACGCCTCGCTGAGTCTTCCGTTGTGGATCACTTGGCAGGTGCCGTTGTCGTACAGCTGTTGAATAAGGTTGATGAATATTTGGGGTACGCCATAGTACTCGAGTAATTTCCAAATTACTTCACGATCAACGCTGTCGAAGGCCTTCTCAAAGTCTATAAAGTTGAGGTAGAGGTTTGATTGCCATTCCATGCTTTGTTCGATGATGATGCGTAGAGTTGCAATTTGGTCAGTACATGATTTGCCTTTCCTGAATCCAGCTTGTTCTGGTCGGAGTTCTGTCTCCAGTGCGTCCTTTAATCTCTCCAGGATGATGCGACTCAGGATTTTACTTGGCGTCGATAGGAGCATGATTCCTCGCCAGTTCTTGCAGAGTCCTAAGTCGCCCTTCTTTGGTAGTTTCACGAGGTAACCTTTCCTCCAGTCAGTAGGCACCTTTCCCTCCTTCCAGACCTTTTGCAATAATGGAGTCAGCATGTCTGCTGTCGTCTCTGGGTCTGCTTTCAGTGCTTCAGGGGGTATTCCATCTGGTCCGGCTGTTTTTCCAGCTTTCAGAAGTTTGATTGCGTTCAAGACTTCAGCTCTCGTTGGAGGATTGGTGTCAACTTGCAGTTGTGTGCGCGCTGTTGTTGGTATTTCTGGACGGGTTGCAGGTGATGGTCGGTTCAAGAGTCCTTTGAAGTGATCCGCCCATTGTTTAATCTGTTTTTCTTCCTTGGTAATGGGCTTCCCTTGGCTGTCTTTTATAGGTTTCGCTTGTGTTGGTCTCTTCCCGGATAGAGATTTGGTTATCTGATATAGTGTCCTCAGGTCCCTTTTGCCTGCTGCCTTTTCAGCTTCAGTAGCTAGATTGTCGTAGAATCGTCTTTTGTCCTTCCTAGCACTTTTCTTCACTTCTTTGTCCAATGCTTTGTAAGTTGAGCTCATCGTCTCCTTCTCCTGTCCGTCCTTGCATTGAATCATTTTCTCTTTCACCATTCTCCTCTCTTCTATTAATTTCCAAGTGTCCGTTGAGAGCCATTCCTTGTCTTGTCTCTTCTTTCTTCCTAGAACCGTTGAACACGTTTCGTTGAGAATCGCCTTCAGAGACTTCCAATGTTCTTCCACGCATGATTCTTCAGTGATGTCGCGTAGTGTTTCCTGCTTTGCTCTGACAGTTGCAGTGAAGGTGTCTTTTGTGGTTGTGTCCTTCAGTAATTGAGTGTTGAACTTGCATTGTGGCCTATCCCCAGCTATCCTCGAGGCTTTTAGTTTCACCTTGAAAGTCCCTTCTACTAGATAGTGGTCTGAACCCACATCTGCTCCTCTCCTTGACCTTGTGTCCAGTAGGCTCCGTCTCCACTTTCTTGAAATTGAGATGAAGTCTATTTGATTCTTGGTGTTTCCATCTGGTGAAATCCATGTCGTCTTGTGTATATCCTTGTGTTTGAACACACTACCGCCAATCACCAAATCATTGAAGGCGCAGAAGTCTGAGAAGAGTTCACCATTGTCGTTCATTTCGCCGAGGGCCTCACGTAAATCATCTGTGAAGTTCACATTTTCTAGAGTGTTCTCCTCCGTCAGACGTATTCCCCTCCTGTCGCTCCGCCCAGTTTCCACCATAATTAGGAATATCATCGTTGATAACAGTTAGCCTTGTCTTACTCTTGTATTCACTTCTAATGCTTTGGCCAGTCCTCCATTATTGATCACCCGACATATGGCCAAGTGAGTGAATTGTAGATATCTGTAGAGAATGATGTGAACCAGTGAATCATTATCAGTCCAAGTAATTCTGATATATTTAAGATGCAGTAATAGAGAATATTCGCGTACTTTTTAGTGAATGCATCAGAATATCTAATACACTTGCCTTCCTAATGATAAGTAAGATAAGTTGTTCAAACTAAACCTTTCACCTAACTGTATTCCATCACAAAAGCACTGAATTAGTCTGAAGAATCATAACATTTTTAGACAGAGTAAGTAGAGCAAGACCATATCTCAAACAACTCCACCATCTTGACATCAGAATCCAATTTTGTGAGTATAACACTCCAAATAAACTAGCTGTGTCCAGCCTTTGAAGTTACAAAAGCACCTGGAGAGAGTGGAATATATATGAAACTGTATATACAAATTGAGAAGTGCACACAAGTTCACTGTTTGACACATCAAAGTAGTAGACTAGACTTCAGTCAACCCTTATTATAATTCTAACTTTTATCATTGAATCACCATAGATGAAGATTTGATCACAAACATTGATCAGTCGTGTACAGTTTGAGCTTGTCAACTTATTCAGCTATGTCGAAATAGGAAACTAACTCTGAGTAATACTAAGTACTAATGTGGTGAGAGCAGGCTGCTAGCCGATTGGCCGGCACTAATCTACGTTAAGGTCTAGGTCACTAATATGGGCCGTGAGAAAATATGAACAAGATTGAGTCAACAACCAATCGCAGCAAAGTTAACGTGGCAAAATGTGATTCGCAGAGAGAACTCGATTTGTCAAGGAATCCCGAAACAACCAATCAGAAGCCTGCGTTTGTCTACCTAAACAACCAATCAGATGACTGCGCTTGTCTATAATAATGTTGTTGAAATATGTATAAATACGTGTTGATTTTCATAATAAAACGATCTGTTGCCTGGCCCTTGTCTTCTGTTGTTACATTTGGTGTCGCTGCCTACCGACAAATGAAAAGCCTATACCCTGCAGTTTTTGATGGAGACATATGGATCTTCGGGCAGGACTTCAAGGCTTCTGCGCAGTTGAGTGGCGTTCAAGATCTGCCAGCGATGGAGCTGCTACTTGAGACGCTGCTGGGAGGTCGGGCGAAAGCAGCATATGAAGGTGTCGGCCGAAGTATGGACGAATGTTCGACAGGGTCAGGCAAACAGTTTCCAAAGTGGGAAGGACCATATATGGTCACTTCGAGATGGGGTTACGCAGACACAGTCGCAATGGCGAACAAGGAGAGGCGCGTGAACGTCAGCGAGCTCCAGAAATGGATACAGCGAGACAAGCCAACGATGACGCCTGCACCAAGTAGATCAAGCCGACTTCAGTCGCACGTATTTGACGGGGGGACGAGTGTGGTGAGAGCAGGCTGCTAGCCGATTGGTCGGCACTAATCTACGTTAAGGTCTAGGTCACTAATATGGGCCGTGAGAAAATATGAACAAGACTGAGTCAACAACCAATCGCAGCAAAGTTAACGTGGCAAAATGTGATTCGCAGAGAGAACTCGATTTGTCAAGGAATCCCGAAACAACCAATCAGAAGCCTGCGTTTGTCTACCTAAACAACCAATCAGATGACTGCGCTTGTCTATAATAATGTTGTTGAAATATGTATAAATACGTGTTGATTTTCATAATAAAACGATCTGTTGCCTGGCCCTTGTCTTCTGTTGTTACACTAACGCTTAAGATGCTAGTACAGACCTTTCTCAGTTTGTTACCATATCTTTCTTTGAAATATACCTCAGAACTACTTGAAGTTTTAGAGCTATGATTCCCCTTTATAACCTGTAGTTGAAATATATATTTATTTAAATTCAATTCCACATCATAGTGCATTTCTAGAATGCTATTGTCTACAAGGTTTACAAGAGTAGCACTTACCTCAGTTGAATTAGCTGCATGGTTCTCGCATAAACTTTCTGTGAACATGTTAGTGAATTCAGGTGTAGTAGCCAGAGACATAGCATAATTTATATTCTCACTGATGCCTGAAAATATCATCAGAAAATAATGACTAGGCATGATGAGCTAGGTTATCATAAACAATCGAAATGAATTTCTTCATGCAGGAAATTAGAGAAATAAGTTTGAGTTAGAGATCTTGGGCATCATAGGATTTTCAACCGGCTAAAACAACCTGTTAGCTGGCGATTTGGCAGAAAACGCCTACAGAGTATTGATTCATATTAAGATGTTGGATTTCAGGGATTGGATTGGATTCAGGATTTCATCATGAACTGAAATCAGATAGACGATCATTGAAAAGTCAGGTGGAAGTAGTGGACTGCTGTTTCGTCCCATTTCACTACCCTTCACAGTACTCACCCATCGCCGCGGGCCGAAATCTTCACTTTTAAGTTACAAGGAGATCTAGCTCGTAGACGATGAAGTGACCGGAACTCGATCCAATGTTGTATTAATTCCAGCTTATGCCAATTCACGATATGGCGCGACCACTAGCGACTGTCATCGGCGAGTATTTATATCACTAAGGTCTCTTAACGTTCGAAAACACTTTTTCTGTTCAGAATTATGATTCTATATGCTAGTGGTTGACTGACTTGACTAGTTACATACCATCGGCTGCCCTCAGCTTGACTAAGCTCTGAGAGGCGAATCAGTCCAAAACACATGATTTCTGGCCAAATGGCTAGATACTTGGGAAAACTGGGGAAAAAATGGGTGAAATTTACAATTTGGAAACTAGTTCACAATTTTCAGTGTGCACAGTTCGAAAGTTTCTTTTAGAAACTGAATTATTCAGATCACAACACCTGATGTCCCTGATGCCACAAATGGGGGAAATTAGGAAAGGCTGTATACTTGTATAAATCTGTATACTGCTGGTTGATTGTGTAAAGTAATTGTATTACACGCGTATGAGCTATGAACCAAAATTAAACTTTGGGCGGTTTGTGTGTAATCACAAACAATTATGTGTATAAAAGTCTGGATCCTATGATATCATTAACTGATCACAGCCCTTGTTTTATTCTATCTGATACACTACCGTTTTGATGGAGGGTTGACGTTTCAGCTGAATTGGAGATCTCTAAACATGCACGCGTTATAGATGTTCATCAAAAGGAAGGATATTTTCTGTAATGTTTAGTTTCATTGTTCAAAAATAAATTGCTCTGCTATACTTGTATTCTCATGTTTAATAGAGAAAAGACTCCGGCAAAATAAACGTCATTATCACTGTGTTACAACTTGAGTAGGACAAAGTCTTTCTAAAATGACACTAGATGTTAGTTTTTCATTAGGCCTAGGAGTACAGGGGGAAATTTAAATTCTACCTGTACTTCTATCTTTCTTCAAATTCAAATTCGCCCAGAAGAACAAATGAAAGTTATTGATTGATTGAGTTATATTCACTGTGAATAAAAGTTTCAGTGGCATACACCTACTTGCCATATTGCCTGGTAAAAGAAAGGCACTAAAGATTATCATCTACTTCCAGGCACATTGGCAAAGTAATTTTTGGCATCATTTTCAAATTTATGAACGAATTCTAACAAATACACGCTTGACTGAGTTCTTTGAATAGTTTGAGTCACATACTACCCATCAATCAGTATTCTTTATTTTTGGAGAATCAAACATAAGCATGCTGTATAGGTTACGGGGAAAACATCACACATTATTTGTAGAGGTTTAGACTTGACTCCACACTGCCTTAGTCTGCTACATCTAGAAGCAATTCAGTTAGACATCGATGTGCCCGATTCACACACCGAAGCACAAATATTATTACAGGCGTTCACTAGCGTTTTTCTCTAATTAATATGCATGTGCATATAAGTGAGTGCATGAAAGATGATTAGTCACTCACATGAGATGCATTCCTCCACTGTTGGAGTTGGTTTCGTTACATTGCAGAATCCGAGACTCTAAAACAAAAAACAAAGTTTAATACATTTTCTGAGAGATAAATCAAACACTCTGAATTGTTTTTATCAGATTGTTGAAGGTAAACGGCAGGACGCCTTGATCTTGTGCTTGTTGGTACTCACCAGTCGAGATGACGCATCTACAGTCTCGAAGGAACTTGTGTCACTTCTGAGATTCTAATCCGGTTGTTAGCTAGTGCTGCAGTCAATGAAGATACTACTGGGCAATTCGGATATGAGACTAAACTCCTGTTGTAGGATCGTGGCACTAACTGACACGGTTCGGCGTCTCAGCTGAGAAATGATTTTCCTCGAGATTGCATATACGTCTTGCTGACTGGTGAGTCCCAGTCCTGTCAGTTGTCTTCAACCATATAGCAAAATAACACATGTAGGGTACACCGTGATGGTGAGCTACCCAGCATGGTGGCCTTATTGTGCAAACTCGAATGGCAGAATTCATTCTGCACCAGTCAAGGGACTGGACGCATGACACTTGTTATCGTCTAGTATCCAATCTTTGTATCAAATTATTATCTTCGTAAACCAGATTCGTAGTAGACTCTCATTATTTATTTTCATTGTTATATCTTCTCAGGTTTCACCAGACACAATAACTAGTATGCTACTGAAATCTCAACTGTGCACGACTTGAGCATATATACTGCTCTCATTCAAACATTAACTAGACAAGTCAACGATATTCACACATATCACAAAGTTATTCATTTCCGATGTTTTCAATTGTTCTCTGTCTGAAGTCAGTTCGAGGTCAATCCTGAAAGCGCTGAATATGGAATGACTAGGTGCCTAGAGGTAGGATAGAAATAGTGTTTCAAAGTAGATTTTGTTAAAAATCGATATTATTTGGAAAACTATAGAAGAGTAAAGATCTACTGATTGGTTATTCGGTCCTTGTCTAGAATTTCTCACTCGTCTGCATTCATAACTTTTATCCGACGAGCCTACGCACAGACTCTGACCTCATAAATAATATTTGAAAATTATTTAATCACTAAACGTATTTCGCTTGCAATCTTGACATTAAAGACTCAGTCCTACTCAAAATAAATTTATGGTGACAACAATGAAAAGTGCTAACTTGTGGTTCAGTTACACCACTTGAATAAACAATTAGTTATGAGAGGGAGAACTGGAATACTCCAGGAAGTTTACGATGAAAAATAATAATAATAATGAAACGAGATAAGACAGTGCTACTGACAGAGGACAGTTTTAAACGCATCAAGAATAGTAATAGATGAAATAAAAGAATAATAATGATAAGTAAAAGATATTCCTGTGATAGACTGAAAGTGACCACCATTTTTGTCTGTATACAGAGCCCGTGTTTATGACTTCTAATTGCAGAAGTCTCTGAAAATGCAAAGATCATACTGTTGGTTCGTCTCCTGACAACAGTAAATAACTTCTTAGCACCAATATCATGAAAGTAGTCTGTGAGATGCCTCACTACCCTGTCTTCAACAGTTTCCAGTCACTTCCTCAAATGCTCCATCATGGCAAGTAGACAAATGTAGCCTTTCCTAACGACCTATGTGTATCTGCTTCGAGAAACACACTCAAAGTGATAAAGGCAGTTTTGAAGTTTTGAGGATCAGCTGCTACCTGTATATATCAAATTTAGTATGACTGTGAAAGTTTTATTAGCATTTGTTGCTTATTTCATTACTTTAAGTGGAGATAGACTGTATGCTGTTGTGCTTCAAAGCAAATTTCGGAAAACTTGTTTACAGTGTAGTTTATTTCATTTGTTGGGATATCTCGTCATGAACTGACATCAGTTACAGAACAATTGGAAAACCAAATGGGAGTACTGGACAGCTAGTTCATCAGCCTAGTTCGGATTTCGAACCCACGACTTTTGGGTTAGAAAGCGAGCTTGTAGACCATCAAACCACAAGGACCCGGTCCAGTGGCCAACCCATGAATGCTAACAATTGATGACATGGCGCGACCACCTCACAATGACTTCTTCGATGAGCTACTGCCTAACCTTCAACCTGCTATACCCTACTGGTCATGGATTCCAACTAGAACCCCAGGTAACTACCTACCTGAATATTTCCAGTCGCTTGTGGGCATCTGATCAATTTTCAAGTATCGCATTTGTAGGGATTTTGTGTTTGATTGGTTGAAGCATTTCGTCATGAGCTGACATCAGTTAGAGAAGCACGAAAAACATGGGAGTACCGAATAGCTGCTTCGTCCCGCCTTATGGCTCTTCAACAGTATGGCTGATTTCAAGTGAGCAGTTAATTGTCTCTTGTCTTTCCCTTTCTCCTCAATTTTGTTTGCACAGTTGATTTTCTGTCATATTTATTCTGTTCACGTCTTTGCATGAGAATGTTACAGAGTCGGTGGTTCACTGGTGGAAGGCCCACTAACTATGGAAGTATTCCGGGTGTGATTCCTGGCTGACTGACACCTAAACGCCTCCTGGCAGGTGGTAAGTGCAGTAAGAGGGAAAGTTTGGGAGTGGGGATTGCAGCTCCATCCTTCATGAAAGCAAACACAATCGCTGCTGAAAATTCAGAGCTCCAGTTTTACCTCTTATGTTTTACACGTGATGCATAATAACGAAAACAGAGAATGTCACTGGATTGAAACTATTACTTTAAAGAGAGTAAATCAGTAAAATCTGGATTATCCTGTATGCTTTTATGATTTACACAGATATGCTGCATTAAAGACATTCCAGTACTGTTAAATGTACATTTTGGGTTACATGTGATTCGACATAAGCCCCCATGTAGTTCAACTATATCCTCCATTCCTATGATGAATTAAGTAAGACTCGAGAATGAAAATGCTGTCATAATAATGTGTATTATGTGAAAGTTATAAGATTTGCGGGGATACTGGATAAATTACAACTGTTAGCCCTTCATTACGAATCAACATCAATTAGAGAGGTCATGGCTTTCCAACAATCTCTTTACTTCATGTCGGTCCTGTGTCGGAAATTCAACAACTGAAATTATGCAGAAGGAAGCTTACACACATTCAGTAGTGATAAACTTATCGCCATACACTAAACATTCTGAACAGTTTGTCATCATCGATTAAGAAACTGAAAGAAAAGTCCACGTTTAACTGGAAGATAAAGCTCAATATCATACTGAAGGCTGAATGAGTTTCAAGCTTAATTTCATTTACAAACTCACAGCAACTGGGAAGTACCTATTTATTCTGAGTCATTGGACTCATCCATTATGGAATTATTCACACTGATATTTTTTAAAAGAACAAAATTCAAAGAAAGTAGTGTTGACTTACTCTACAGAAACGTGTAACATTCATTTTCCTAACACATGCATGAATTTTGTCCATTGCATTATCTGTAAAATTGTGACACTGACAGAAATGAAAAAGGAGAAACCACAACAGTGTGTCTTTGTTAATTTATGGCAGAGTTGAAATAGTTATCTATTTTTATGATAGAAAAAGCGAACATGAAATTTGTTTTCTACTAGCGACTGTTTGATTCCGTTTTATCAGCCTAGTCCGTAGTCTATGGTTTTGCTTCTTTTGAGAAATTTATGACTGGATTACAAATAAGTGGATGGTATCTTCTGAATTACTTCGTGTCCTGAGTTCTGTCTCTGTGTAAAAGAAATTACATCATAGTAACATGAGCTTTCAACGTAAAGAAACATCTCTAATAATGAAAGTTAATCCTCAATGGAAAAATCCACTAGGCAGGCCTTGAGGTAAAGACAGGAGAAATACCAGGTTGCTGCCTGCTATCATAACCGATGATATTCAGGACTGTGGTAGACTAGATCATGAGGATGACTGTGCGTAGGGAGCGATGAGACAAGAATATGTTTATCAGGTAGGAAGACTCTAGACGATATGAAATTTTGTGGTTGGATTTATGCATAATGTTACATGGAATCGAAGACTTGCAGGAAAAAACCGACAAGTTGGGAAAACGAGAATGTAGATAAGACAGAACTCAAAGTGAACATGGAGAAGGGGAAGATGGCGAAGATGACTAACCGCCATCAGTCACAACACGCACCGATAAATAAGAACTGGAGAAACGTGATAGATGACTTCCTTCACTTATGTAGGAAGCTTCGCTGCAACCAGGGGTGGAACAGGAGAAGATCTCATAACCGGACAGACATTCATCACTGTGAAATCAGTTTTGAAATATTCTGCACTCAGTGTGAAGAAAAAAAATTGGGATTTTGAGCATCGGTCTCAATTCGGTCAGTTCTTCTAAATCAATCAAAATCTTGGTGAATGCGTCAACAAAATAATTTCTAACAGACCACATCAGAATTTTATCAGCATCTGCGTTTTCTGGCTCCACATTGGTGATCAAATGGCCGGGAGAATGAATCGGAGACAAGAATCTCCGGGAATGAAGTAACCAAGAATCTATTGCACAAAGAATATTCTAGAGAAAATCGAGATGAATCAGATGCACTCTGAGGAGACAAAAGTGTGAGATCGCACGCCAGACAGTAATTCCAGTGGGATCTGGAGAGGGAAATGACGCGTGTAGTCTCCTTGAGTGACATGAATGTGGTCGCGTGACAAGCAGATGAAAACCAATGGCCAACTAGACAGGCTGAAAAAGCTGTCCACTGTTTCCTGGTGCTTTCCAACAAACTCTTTACCTCACATCGGTCCTGTGACGGAAATCAAACAACTGAAATTATGCAGAAGGAAGCTTACATACATTCAGTAGTGATAAACTTATCGCCATACACTCAACATTCTGAACAGTTTGTCATCATCGATTAAGAGAAAAGAAAGCCTCAAAACGAGATGAGTACATTTCATACTTTCAGTTTATTCTCTTGTTTAATATCCTCCCTAAATAAATAGAATAAAAACACTATTATTCACCGATACTATTATTATTCCCTTGGGTTCCGAGTGGAGCATATGGCTTCAACAATACCTATCCATTTCATCCTGTTCTCTACAGTCTCTTTGAACTGGTCTCACAATTGGTCATAAGCTCTCATTTACTCCTCATTCGCTAAACTCGTCGTTTCTCATTCAGATTCTACTCTAGCGTAGTGTCACTGAATATTCTCTTCAGTTTGTGTCCACTCCATCTGTCCATTTTCTTCGGCATGTTTGTTGGGCGATAGGTTATTGATTGGTTGCTCCCTAGATTTTCTAGTTGCTAACTATTTCTGTTCAAGCAAGTTTTCCATCTTATGAACTATAATCTTCTTGCTTGTATCAACTTATAAGCTAACACTATTCTCTATACTTTCCTGCCTCCTGCTCACTCCCCCTGCTCCCCTTCTACTTTTCAAGCACATGAACTGATGGGAAATTAGACGACAAATTGTAGTGCTTTTATTTCGAATGCGGTAAATTTCTATAACATTTTTCAATGTTATCATTCAAATATTGTAGCATGTTATTGTCATTCTTTAAAACCACTGTAACTTCAGGTAGTTTGCAGTTAGGTGAAATAGAATGATGATATCGTTTCATATTTCAATTCTGATCGTTATGTCTTTGTCAAAACTTATCAAGGGAATCAAGTGCAATGAAAAAATAATCAGTTTTCGTGTCATCGATTCCAACTGAACGAAACTCAAATCAAGGTGATTAACATTCTTAAAAAAGTACGGTTAAAATTGTTACGCACAGATAGTAATGAATAACAGCTTCTCCGTCATCTCAGAGATCTCAAGCTTTTGTGAGAGCCTTATTGATCTTGGTAATGTCCTTCAGATCAGAAGTTATCAGTCTAGGAAACAAGATGAAGACTGTAGCAAATTGAAATTTGAAAAAGCCGAATTTTATGCCATTAAAAAAAAACAAATCAAAGCGTCAGATGGCGATCGAAATCCATTGAGGTAGAATAATATGGATTCAATTAATCTCATCATTTTGCTTCTCCTACGTACAACCTGCAATATGTATTACACCAGAATATAGCCATTCGAAACTGGAAGACATCGTCGAACTGGACACAAGCGTTGTTCGATATGAAGTTAAGCATATAAGGTATGTTGTGATTTTACAAATAACTGTCTTCCAGCGTTATTTTAGAATGATTTAATTTCTTACAGATTCCATTATGAGTTGATGTTAATAAAAGAAGCATTCGATAATCAGGAAGTATTAGACAGCAGTTTTGACCTGAAAGGAGACGTTATGTAAAAACAATATACAGTAGCATGGCTTATGGCTATCGCGTTTTCAACACAGTTGAAGGTTTTTCAAATAAACCCTTGTTTAAGCAAACAAAAATGTTCTTTTGCTTAACATCATCAAGTTCTAAGCAGATATGCCTATAATACATAAAGAACTAATATTATTATTATAGGCAACATTAGTGTTTTGAAAGGCTACTTTGTCAAGCTATGAAATAATGATGACCTACGCCTCTGCAGTATTTAGGGTAGAATCATGCTCTTGTGAACGACAAGTGAAATACCAACTCGCGTCATCCTGGAAAGAACAAAGGATGCACTGGATACAGAACTCCACCTCACCGACCGGAACAAGCTGGATTCAAAGAAGACAAATCGTGTGCTGATTGAGTTGCAACTCTAAGTATCGTCATCACAGAGCAAAGCATAGAATGGCAATCAAACCTCTCCCTACCTCAAATTCATCGACTTCGAAAAGGCATTCACAAGTTAGCGTTGACTGAGTTGTAATTTGGAAACTACTTCAACACTACGGCGTGCAGTTCCCAGGTCTTTATCAACCTTGCTCAAGCACAACTAGTTATATGACACTATCACGTGTCAGATGATCCACAACGGAGAACTCAGAGAGTCATTTGAAGTCAACACAGGAGTAAGACAGGAGTGGCTGCCTATTATCACCGATGATATTCTTGATTGTGGTGGACTGGATTATGCAGAAGACTAAGGGGAATGAGAAGACAGCAATACGCTGGACGACTGATAAGAAGTCTCTAAAAGATCTGGATTTCGCGTGTGGATAATTTGTGTCGAGTGTCATACAAACTCAAAGACTTGCTGGCGAAAAGCAACAAAGTGAAGGAAGAGACTGGCTGCTAAGATAGGAATCCACGAGAACATGGGGTGGACCGAGGTGATGAAGATACTTGCCCACCAAAAGTAAAAACAGCCAGCATCAATCACCATCAACAGGAGACATTTAACACAGGTTACTCTCTTCACTTATCTTACGAAATTTCTTCTGGTTTTACCTGAATAGATACAAAGAGAAAATTGTGACTAAAGAGCATGTTTAACCAATTACTGGCAAGAATTGAAATGCCCCCTAACAAACATTGTCGGTTAGTTCAGTCAAGTGAACAACACTAACCCTACTTCCGGCCTTCAATGTTCTACTTAATATATGGGGCCTTTATTTAGGATCTCAAAGAATAATAATTAGGCATATATCAATCAGTAAAGACAGTACACAACAGGAATAAATTCAGGAGACAATTTAAGGAGACAGAAAATTATGGTTTAGTCTATTTTAGAAACACTTATTTATGTAGGCGAAGTATTCTTGGCTGCGTTAAAATTTGAAATTTTCTTTGTTAATAGAACTGAATATTCATTCTATATGTGTCAAAAATGTTTCATCAAGATGTTCTGGTGTCCGAATACAGCAGCATACCGAAAATGACAAGCGCTTTACTATTCTGGCATGTTTTCAGCATACAACAATCCATGTTCTCCACACTTTTTCTGCATTTGTCATGTACCGTATCTATCATCCAGTTAAGTAGTCACTCTTTGTTATTCCTTCCTTCTTGTTGAATGCAGAAAACTGTATTAATCCATGAGTCATGGCAGTTGGATATAAGTTTAGGAGTGAAGATAATAATCATCCTAAGGAAGTATTTCAGGGCATGGTCTCAGTAAATAAGCTCTCTTTTAGTATTATCATCACTATCGGAAGTTTTAGGACATTCTTCCGAAAATTTCAGGGTTTACGCCTAGTAAAATAGGAGACATATTTGTTCTGTAAAACAATAATTTGATGACTGGTTGATATCACTTACAGAGCCTTTGAAAACAGACAAGTAGAAACGGACAGTTCTTTTGTCCTAGTTTGAAACACCTCGACAGTAAAATGAGAATGGAGTTCGAATTCAGGACCTTCCGGTTACAAATCAAGCTGGCTAGCGATTGGTTACAAGACGGGATTGCTTTGATTTCTGAGAGCAAGTCATGACCAGTTAGGGTCACCAAGTCGTAGGTGTAGACAAATACTCGCCGATGACATTGGCTAGCGGTCGCGCTACTTCATGAATAGTCAGAAGTCCCGGTTCATGGGCTGGTTATTGGATGTGTGCACAGCGGCCTAATGTTCTACGGGCTCAC